TTTTAACCTTTTACCTTATATTATGATATTTTTAACCCATCATTGATACAAATTAAAGAAAATAACTATCATCTAATATCAAGTTATAACGTTCTGTTAGTTCTATTAGTTGACTGTTAATATCTGTTAGCATTCCATTATAAAAAATATGAAATTTAAATTCAATTTTATTTGTTAGTTTCATTAACAGAATACTAACAGATGTTAACAGTCAACTAACAGAACTAACAGTCAACTAATAAAACTAACAGTTAGTTAACAGAACTGACAGTCAACTAACATAACTAATAAAACATTAAAATATAATGTTAAATAAGAGTTATTTTCTTCAATTCGTACAAATAAGAGGTCAAAAGTGTCATAATATAAGGTGAATAGTTAAAATCTATCAATTTTGTAAGATAAAACACTAAAAGTATCATATTATAAGGTTAGGGGTTAAAACCTATTAATTTTGTAAGGTGAGGGGCTAAATATTCATTTTAGCCCCATTTTGACAGACAATATATTAGTCATTTTCTGCCTCTAGAATAAGAAGCGCATTAGCAACATGGTAAGTGGTTGGGAGTTTCTTAATTAGCACAATTAAAAATTGACTGATGACTTAATTTGGAAAATTTATTCTAGCATTTTTTCGAAGTCTCTATTGCACAGAGTTAATATATTGATTGAATTATCAGACCCATGTGCTGGTGCGCAGATTAATTGCCTTGTAATTACCAAAATTATATATGCTTCAATCATCATTTGCATATTATTGTGTTAAACACCATAGATCACATGGAATGAATGATTACTGCAGGTTCAATATTAATATGTGAGGTAGTCTCATCTTTTTTTTTTTTTTTTTTAAGGTGGGTTATTGCTACATTCTTAATAATTAATATCATATTTTTTTTACTTTAACAGACTATTATATCCTTATATTACACTTTTTTATAATACATTCTTTGACAGTAATTGAGGAAGAAAGGGAGATGATTGGCGTAAATTCATTATTAATTTTGTTTTAAATGATGCTAATAATAATATCCCCAAGAATCTAGTATTGCTAGGGAATTGGAAGATGACCAATTAGGAAAATGTCTGAAAATTTGGGCTTCATCTTCCCTGTCAACAAGGGAAGAGGTCCCAATCAAAGAGTTAAGATTTCAAGAAATGAGGCATATGAGTTAGGTTGCCATTAGCAAATGGGACTTCTTTTCTAACAATACAATGATTATTACAAGGTTCTGACTAATTCAACAAATTTGAAATATAATTACATTTTTCTATAGCAATATGGTCAAAATTTTAGGTGCAATTATACAAGCAGTAATGCACCAAAATCCATCAAAACTTTTCAATTAAACATCTTTGGGCGATAATACTAATATATATATATATATATATATATGATAGGGGTGGTCAATTTCAAACTACAAGGCTTTTACTTTTGGGTAATGGTTTTTTATCTAAATTTTGACTAGAATTAATATTTGTCAAAGAAAGACGTTTTCTCTTCTTCTTGGTCTTCTTGAAACTGTTATGGGGGGCAGAAAGCATGTAAATTAGGGGAACCGAACCACTTGTTTTCAGTTTTGAACTCTTTGTCAAAACACTGCTGCCTGCATATTATAAACTGCATGTGAAAGGAACAATTCGCTTTCTCACATTTGCATCTCTGTTACCCTCATCTGGCGGCTGAAATTAAGACCTTGCTTGTTCCCCTTCAAACCTTTCTTTCTCTTTTACCAAAAACTTTCAACTAGCTAATTATTACTTATAATTTATTATAATGTCAATACTCAGCTCATGACGTCTATGATTGTGGCTTGTGGAAGGAGGACTACCACTTTAACGTACAAGGTTTTGGTTTGGAGCCATTGGACATTAATTGACTCAAAAGGAAGTATGCACTTAATATAACAGGCCCCTGTCTAGGCCTTGATCCAATAATACAATTTTCTTAAAAGTGCGTTCAGATTTTTTTAGAAGCTGAGTTTCACTGTGGTCATAATTTCTAAGAGTATGTAATAGTAAAATCGATTTAGTCCTTCAATGATAAAGAAGCTAAAATTGAATCCCTTCACCTGAGGGAGGAGGACCAGGGAAAGTATGAGAATTAAGAAATGATTCCCTTAAGAGTAAATAAAAATTTAAAATTCTAAATTAAAGATTTTATGAGGTGGGGTTGGGTGCTTAATTTCTTAGTGCACGTTTATTGTATTTATAACCAAAAAGGGAAGAGAAACAAGTGTTTGATTATAAGAAGCCGCAAATTGAGACGAAGAAGAGAAGCAGGGGGTGAAGGGTCGACCCTTAATTGACGGAGAGGACTGAGCAGGCATGTAAGGTGGTGGCAATTACACCTCAATCAACTCTGCCCCAACAGTCCTCTCTCATCCCAATTCAATTGCTATAATAATAGAAAATTGATCATACCAATTCCTACTCTATCATTTAATTCATGGAAGCTGCTTCTCAGCAGAAAACCAGCTGAAGTTAATCGTCATGAATTCCGGAATATACTTTAATAAATGTCTCAAATTTCTAAAATTAAATATTTTTCCTAATGTTGGTACTAATTTAAGTTCAATTTGGTGACGTTCTTAAATATTTGGAGTTTGTGTACCAGCCTAATGGAAACCATATTTCATTTCTGCATTTAATTTCCATCAACTTATTTTTTCCCCATTTCTAGCTATATATTTTGTATGTTTTTTTTTTTTCTTAATATGAATAGAGGATTAATTAAGTCCTAAAATTAACGTTTGGAAGCACAAACTCATGTGCTACCGTAACCAAATGGGTTTAAATGTTAACTTCAAACTTTAATTTTGATTCATATAGTAAAAAAGACTTTAATTAATAATTAAAAATACTTGTAAAGTAATTGACTAAATTATTGACCAAAAAAAAAAAAAGTATTTCCTTACCTATATGGCCAATATTCAAACCCTCATTTTTCCTTCTCAACTCTCTTTCCCATGAGGGAATTTTAACTAATTGGCCTGTCTTAGAAAAAGAAAAAAGTTCTGGGACCAAAACTCAAAAATAAAATTAAATAGGTTTTTAATTGTAAAAAGTTACTGTACGTGCACACATACACATACATATATATATGTTAGTATTTATTAGTTGAGTTTATAAAAAATTAGATAAAAAAATATTTTAAAATTATATTATTTTAATAAACACTATGGGAAAAACTTACAATATCCTCTTTCTTGCTTTAAAAATAATTAGGATATTTCAATTTTTTTTCTAATAAGATTTTATTATAATAACATAGTTTAAAAATATTTTTCTATTTAATTTTTTACAATATAAACTTAAATTTATTTTTCTAATAAATAAATAAATAAATATATATATATATATATATATTTATAGCATTGGAGCATGAACAAGGTGACGGCTGCATGAAAGGGCAAGCCGTCCTTAACAAATGTAT